TCACACAAGCTGTTATACATAGTTTAGAACATAAAACTTATGGCATCTTGAACGCACAGCTTCACACAAGCTGTTATACATAGTTTAGAACATAAAACTTATGGCATCTTGAACGCACAGCTTCACACAAGCTGTTATACATAGTTTAGAACATAAAACTTATGGCATCTTGAACGTACAGCTTCACACAAGCTGTTATACATAGTTTAGAACATAAAACTTATGGCATCTTGAATGCACAGCTTCACAGAAGCTATTATACACATTTCATGATAACTCTACACAATTCTCATGTTTACAATATATCTTCATTTAACTTGAATCAACGTAAGATGTTAAACATAACTTTCATGAAACTAACACACAAAGTAAGAGTAGGAACGAACAAACTAACTGGCTTGCAATCTTTCCTTCAGACTTGTTTCCAAAAACTTTACAGCTGAGTCCCACTGTTGCTTGTCATGCACTGACCTGTCTTGAAGGGCATTTAGTTGGATCACTCGCTGAAAAGAGACAACTGGGCATAATAAGTTGTATTAATAACTGCAGAAAAACAATCAGAGGTCATTTAGTTGGACAGCTGACTAGAAAAGAGACAACTGAGGCATAATAAGTTGTATTACTAGCTGCAGAAAAACAATTAGTGGGCATTTATCGGACAGCTGACTAGAAAAACGACAACTGAGGCATAACGAGTTGTATTACTATCTGGAGAAAAACAATTAGAGGGCATTTAGTTGGACAGTTGACTGGAAAGAGAGACAACTGAGGCATAATAAGTTGTATTACTAGCTGCAGAAAAACAATTAGAGGGCATTTAGTTGGACAGCTGACTGGAAAAGAGACAACTGAGGCATAATAAGTTGTATTACTAGCAACAAAAAATAGAGGGCATTTAGTTGGACAGCTGACTGGAAAAGAGACACTAACTGCAGAAAAACATTAAGTGAGCATTTACTTAGATAGCCATCTGTAACTTGTCAGTATTAAATAGATGGAAGAAACAAATATAGGGTGTTTATATGGAAATCGCTGCAAAATACTGATGATCAGAAACATAATGTTAGAAACAGCATTAAAAATAAGTACCTGTTAAAAGGAGGTGCAGTTCTCACATTTTCTTTGTTAACATTTAATAACAAGTGATTTCAACTTGTAACACCTTCACAACATAAACTATAATACACATATAAACAACACCTTTACAAAGACTTCAACATTCCTCTCTTTTTGTAAATCGATAAAACACCACCGTAAACTAGCTATGCCTAACCTAGTAAATACCTGTCTCATTCATCAAAAGGTACATCAATTGAAGAGTTATTATAAAAAAACTATATTCAACGCAAAAAAAAATAAAGAGGTTCATTTAGATGTTATGGAAATACATGGAAGTTAGCTAACTTTTCTTGTGAAAGTAGGGTTACTTCCATGTCATAGACAGGGTGAAAGTAGGGTTACTTCCATGTCATAGACAGGGTGAAAGTAGGGTTACTTCCATGTCATAGACAGGGTGAAAGTAGGGTTACTTCCATGTCATAGACAGGGTGAAAGTAGGGTGTTGCTTATGAAAGCAAATCTCACTAATCGGGCTGGTAAAATGCCTCCGCAGCATGATCTGGATATCTTACCACTGAGAAATATTCTTACAGCAGCAAGACTGTAAGATGACGTGACATTTTATAGTGGTGAGTCTTCACTGTTCTCCAGAGAAAAAGAAGAACTCACACAGTAGCGACTTCTGAAACCAATCAGGACTAATACCGTCATCTACAAAGTGAATGTTATGGTTATGAAAGAGAAACTTCCAGCTCAAAAAACACATAGTAATAAAAAAAACATCTCTTGTTACCATCAAAATCCAATAAACAATGATTTCAAGATGGTTAAAGCATACAAGCTTCCACCCACACTTTAAAGTCAATGACTATTTTCAAGAGAAAAATGTCTGAAAAACCTGGAATCGAAGCAAACCCTATCAAGTCTCCAAAACAGCAGCAACAGACTTTTGTACCTTGGTTCTGCTTAGCCGTGTGCTTGGATGTCATAGACCTAAGACATAAGAGTGGGCCAACATAAACATGGCTGTTCTCCAAAGAAGCTACTTCCGAAGAAACATCATCGCAGGATCGTTGTGAAAGGAGAGGGAAAGAAGATGTGGCATGACTTTTAGAGAAAATATAATACTACATACTATTACAACCTTAACCATGATTTCCAGAAAGTGTACATAAAATCCATGTTCATAAGTAAAATAATAATTACAGGAAACATCAGTGAATTTATTTTCCATTTTTGATATTTTCAATACAAATGAAATAACTGAAAGCCTAAATAAAACTTTTGTTATTAAAAACCTAAAATCCCATTTAAGTTACAGCAATTCATAAACCAATAACTCAAAGCAATTACAACAGAATGCACCCCTGTAATTTCAATATTCTAGATCATTTTTAATTCATTACATAAATCCATGTTTACAATGCTAACATAATTTCAAGACTACTACACCTTCTAAACTTTTGTTGGGAGAAAAGTCAGAAACTCCACAAAACAAACACAGTCCCATTTAATTATACTTGTCATAAGACATTGGTGTTAGGCCTATTAGTAATAGACCTAATACTGATGTTTTATGACAAGTATAATTATATATAATCATGCTTTGTCAGCTTCAAAAAGTATTCACACCATAACACAGAACCATTTCTTATCGAAGTTATGGAACAGCAAAGTAAGAGATACAAAAATATTAGGGACCTAACAATAGAAAGTGTTGGTTGTTATACAAGAATATTAGGGACCTAACAATAGAAAGTGTTGGTTGTTATACAATAATATTAGGGACCTAACAATAGAAAGTGTTGGTTGTTATACAAGAATATTAGGGACCTAACAATAGAAAGTGTTGGTTGTTATACAAGAATATTAGGGACCTAACAATACAAAATCTTGGTTGTTATACAAGAATATTAGGGACCTAACAATAAAAAGTGTTGGTTGTTATACAAGAATATTAGGGACCTAACAATAAAAAGTGTTGGTTGTTATACAAGAATATTAGGGACTTAACAATAGAAAGTGTTGATTGTTATACAAGAATATTAGGGACTTAACAATAGAAAGTGTTGGTTGTTATACAAGAATATTAGGGACTTAACAATAGAAAGTGTTGATTGTTATACAAGAATACTAGGGACCTAACAATAGAAAGTCTTGGTTGTTATAGAAGAATATTAGGGACCTAACAATAAAAAGTGTTGGTTGTTATACAAGAATATTAGGGACCTAACAATAAAAAGTGTTGGTTGTTATACAAGAATATTAGGGACTTAACAATAGAAAGTGTTGATTGTTATACAAGAATACTAGGGACCTAACAATAGAAAGTGTTGGTTGTTATAGAACAATAGAAAATGTTACTATTATTAAGCTGCCAAAGAATATTAGCTATTGTCTAACAGAAGAATATCTGTTAAAATGAGAACAACTGTGTGCAACATACCAAAACTTCAGCAGCCTTATCCTCCCAAAGGTGACTTCTCATTGCTTCATGGACCACTGCTTTAGTAAGGGTATCAAATATGGAGTCGTGATCTTTGGACACTTTTCTATTTTCCATTATGCTATTAAATTCATTCTTAAGAGTTTCCCAACCAACCTATACGAGTTCATACAAAAATGTTAAAAATTCAACTACGTTACACATGTTGATAGAAATATTACAAGTAAAACCAGCCTATATACCACTAACAATTATTTTCTTTTACAAGTTTTTTCCAAATGGATTTTTGAATCCTCTTGTGTTACACCTCAATAGATGTGTACATTATTGTATAATATGTTACAAGTAGAACTAGCCTGTGAATGTTGATTTGTTTTGTTTTGAATTTTGCACAAAGCTACACGAGGGCTATCTGCATTAGCCGTCCCTAATTTAGCAGTGAAAGGCTATAGGGTAAAAGGGTAAGCATGTTTGGAGCAGCAGGGATTCAAACCCGCAACCCTGAGATTAAGAGTCAAGTGCCCTAACCACCTGGCCATGCCGGGCCAGTGAGTGTTGAAATGAGTATTACAAGCTCAATTAATGTGCATATTATTACTATAAATTACTAGTAAAACTAGCCTGTGAATATTGAAATGAGTATTACAAGCTTAATTAATGTGCATATTATTACTATAAATTACTAGTAAAACTACCCTGTGAAT